CCAGGTATTGTTATTGATCCTGAGCTTTTAGTCCTTGTTTTATTCCTTCTAAAACATAAATAAATTGGCGTTTTTCAAGTGATGTTATTTTCGTCATCGCTCTTCTTGTTGGCCACTATGAGCACTTTGAATATGGCAATATTTTTGAAACTTCGCATACAGATGTATTTTGCATGGGTTTAAATAATTCCTGAGGTATGACATCTTAGTTTTATCTTAAACTTTCAAAAACTCAGAAAAAGCAGTCAAAACGCGCGGTTTTTCTGACCGTTCATGCTTATGGTCGTGTTTTTTCGTTTTTTTTTGCTAATTCGTGATTTGTTTGCTTTGCGAATATTAAATTCGTTTATCATACTACTGATATAAATTAAATTCGGTGGTATAACTAATATTTATAGTTCAATGGCTTGGATTCGGAAGGGGCCAATTGTATGAAGCATAGCTCAGAAGCCAGGTCAATTTTTAGCAAAAGCAAATAATTTTAATATGTTCAGGAATCAGTCGGCCCCTGTCCCATTGCGCAACCACTCAATCCGTCCTGAGCTGAGCATAATATCAGCCTGTATAGAGCTGAGCATAATATCGTTTAAGTGAAGTTGAAATAGTTTGGAATTAGGCGTTGATTTGACTTGCATGACATGGCGTCGTTTAGTCGATGCAAATTAGAAAAGCATGAACAGCAAGAGCTTATGGTATGACAGTAAAACTGTACATGGTTGCTCAATTTAGTTAACGTCTCAATGATCTCATCCACAAAATCTTTTTCGATAATTGCAACTCAATAATTATACTGACACTTTTTATTTCGTATAATTGGTTCATTACGAGTTAACGGCTTCGGTGGCGCAGTCGTCAAAGGAAGTGCTTTTCACCTACAGTGGAGATCGTGCATGGTTCGACTCTCTCCTTGCCCACTCATGTGAAAAGAGTGAGTGAACGCTCTGCTGAAAGTCATGCATGGGTTTCCTCCGGGTGCTCCGATTTCTGACAAATACGCATAATTTACGCATAGACATATTACAGAAGTAATAAATAACCGATTTACGATTTGTAAATTGTTAAACATGTAAATGGCATGATTTCGTAAATCAGTTTATACTGACAATACAATTCTATAATATTTTCTCTGTTTAACAACTAAAATTTCGTTATACTATTATTGCCATAATTTTCCGAATGGCCAACCCGATTTTCCGAATATGTTAATTAATTGGGGTGGGGGGTTAATACCCCCCAATACCCCCTCGCTATGGCCCTGGTAATATTACAAGTGTTGTAAAATTACTAAAATATAAAATAGTCTATAGGTAAAGTTATGTTATAATTAGGTAGGCGATACTTGATGTAAAGCGCATTTGATCATATCCACACGCAACCTTGCGTTATAGGAATTTTAATCTTTAGGAATGATTGCCAAAATATATGCAGAAAGTATAAATGAGAAAACCACATCTAGCGAGGTTCAATATACCATTATGTAATCTATCATTCATGGTGAGATTTCACAACATATAAACTTCTATACACTGTAGAAAGAAAAATAGGTGTAAAATTGTTTTTCAGTTAAAAATACGAATCCCAGTCTAGCTAGGTCGAGCCAACTTCAAAAATAGATTTAGGTCATTTTAATAAACCAATATACAATTGTGAACATGACTGTTAATTAAATAGATCAAAATTTTAGGAAGACGCATTGAACTAACTTCATTAGGCTTTTGCCTTGCCCCTTCCCCCCACCCAATGTTGTTATTATTTTCCGCATTCCAGAACATTGTTAAGGGGGAAGAGGGATATTTTAGGTAAAATGGATCACACCACAATTCAAACTCTCATGCACAGAGACAAATTAAAATTTTATTAATTATTTTCTGTCCACGATTGTGGAACTAAATTGTTGAAATAACACTATTTTGTGATAAAAAGTGTTTTATAATTTAGATTATAAACTTTTGTAAAGCTCAGACAGCATGCTACGGGTCCAATAGGGTCCAACAATGATTCACGCACTGGCAACAGAAACATGCTTATATTTGTGAAGAAGAAGATGTTATATTGAATAATGAATGGTTCGGTAAAAGAATGATAAGAAGCATTTATACAAACCTTTGATGATGTCAATTTTATTCACGAGTGTATCTTCAAGCTGTGGTAGTGTTGAGTTGTAAAGTTCTGGTAACGACATGTTCAGAGCTTCAGCAATGTAAAATGGTGGAATTGTATAATTTCTTGATAGCGCTAAAATATTTTTCGCCGTGATAATATTAACAACCTTGATCCATCCTGGCTCCAAAAACGCATATACTTCATCTTTTGTGATATTTAAATGTTCCGCTATTTCTTCAGTCTTGAAGTTAAATCTTTTCTCCAGAATCTTAAACATCGCTTCTTGGATTTTGATTAAAGGTACTTGGTCATTTAAAGGCAGAGTGATATTGTTTGAAACATTTGCCATTTCTTCTACTGACATAGTGATTGTCCATTTGCTTGTCTGTAGAAATTCAAACTTGTCGACGGTCAAACCATTGTCTTTTGCCGCCAATCCAAGTACAAGCAATGACGGCAAATTTTTCTGTAGTTGCGGGAGAGGTTTATATTTGAGGTTTTTAACTATGTCATTGAATGTTACGTGTTCAAAAAAGGTTGTATTTGTTTGAATTAAAACATCCGTAAACGTGCCTCGTTGTATGGCATCTTGTACCAGTGGATTTATTGTTATTGGTAATTGCAGCGTAGTATTAGAAGTACCTCCACCGTGACTGGAAAATATGGCGAGGAAAATGAGAAAATATGTAATCGTTGTCATGGCCTCCACGTTCGTACAGCAATGTCTGTAAAATAACGAAATCTTTTTTAACAATAAACCGGCGCCACTGACCTAAAACTATTAGTAATATTTACTGAGCAATTTATAAAAATCAGCTCGTTCAAACCATTCCATGCAATATCATTAACGTTTGAATGAAGTCAAGCCTGATCCAACATCATGCAGTCAACGTTACGAAACACAATGCTCAAACAGACACAGCAACATTACCAGTCTAATGATGTTAATATATGATTAGTAATATAGATGGTTTTCGATCCCCTTTTTTGAGGGTGCGTAAGGGTGCTTAGGATGCGCCAATTAATATTCATACAAATGAGGGTGCTGAGGGTGCGCTAATTAATATTCATACAAATGAGGTGCGTTCATTAAATATTCAGTAAATGAATTAGTCTTAATAGTTATGACTATAGTCTTAATGGTTATGACTATAGTCTTAATAGTCATGACTATAATCTTAACCATAGTCATAATAGACATGACCATAGTCTTAATGGTCATGACTATAGTCTTAATAGTCATGTTATCATAATTGTTCCTTGTTCGCTGCGCTCACGTAACATGATATCGTCCCTCAAGCGACATGACCATAAAGATTATAGTCATGACTATTAAGACTATAGTCTGACTGTAAAGACTATAGTCATGACTGTTAAGATTATAGTCATGACCATTATGACTATAGTCATGACTATTAAGACTATAGTCATGACTATTAAGACTATAGTCATGACCATTAAGACTATAGTCATGACTATTAAGACTATAGTCATGACTATTAAGACTATAGTCATGACCATTAAGACTTTAGTATAAACCTACTAGTAGGCTATCGTGTATCGTGCGTTCTGATTAGCTACGCTACTAGTAGGCTATTAGTGATAGCCTACTAGTAGCAACAAGCGGCTATAGGGGCGAGAGTCAATGGCCATTTTTTAAGTATTAAAACTTAAAAGCTGCATTTAAAAGAAAAAGCTTATCAAAATGACCTAATTTTGGTTCTGGATTACACACAAACAAAGACTCTTGGAAACTGCTGGCACATACGGTAAAATTGTTCTCAATTTTGCTCGTAGTTTTGAACATGAATATTTGTTAATATTCCGAGTAGAATCGTTGGCCGAGTTTTTGCCGAGTTTTTGTCTTTAGATTTTGGCCGAGTTTGTTTTTCGCCTTTTTAAGCCTCTTTAATCGAGTTTTTCGATTAAATTTTTATCTAAACTTTTGTCTATGTATACTAGATGATGGAAATTGTTTGCCTTTTTATTTTTCCAGATATTTTAAAGATTTTAACGTCATTCGGATTCTTTTGCGTGCATTTTTATTCGGCTTTTTAACGTAAACTTTATTTAGTAACAATTCTGGAATCCATTTTGTGTTTGAAATTTTGGACTTTTTAAGCCTTGTTACTTTCTTTTAAATTAATTAGCCAAACTTTGCTGGTATTATTGGTTTAACGACCCCTTACTATTATACTGCTTTACGACATGTTTTTTACTTTTTTTAAACTCACAATTTGTATTTTTCAAGTCATTCTTGGGAGTTAGCAACACTGATTAGTTGTCAACAAGGCTGAGGCGAAATGTCGCCAAAGGAACCCATTTAAACGCTCATTTCGTTACAAAGTTATTATTTTACATAAAAATCAAGTTATAAATTCAGTTTTCTTTGTGTGGTTTATACTAAAACAATTAGACAACTCAGCCTCGTTGTCTCTGAGCGAATAGTCAACTCGGCTTCGCCTCGTTGAATATTTGCTCATAGACAATTCGGCTTCGTTGACTAATTGTTAAATAGTCATGACTATTAAGACTAATTATTCATTTACTGAATATTTAATGAACGCACTCTCATTTGTATGAATATTAATTAGCGCACCATCAGCACCCTTACGCACCCTCAAAAAAGGGTGTCGAAAACCACCTATATTACTACTTATATGACGAGGGGCAAATCACCAATTTATAAATCACGTACACTAACACTTTGTTATAATACTAAGTTACTATGCAATTGTTCAAAGAAGTCACTGAATTGTGAGAATTTTGAATTCCTTTCAATCTTTTTCATCTTTTCTCAGCCCATAGTTCTTCTGATTTAGCGATTTAATGCTATGATCTGGCAGGCTAATCATGATCTGGCAAACTAGTATTTGTGCTGAACGAGCCTCTTATTTTCTGGTACAATACAATGTATAAATAATGAATGTTTATGAGTGCAATGGTAAAAATATTTCCATCTTTCACCGAATGAAATCTTTTTTTTGCACAAATGAAAACATTCATTATTTGTTCTATATAGCACCATAATTAATCAATGGTATCGATTTTGAGCGTTTTAATTGCAAAACAAGTACATATTATACCTGAGTTGCATGTACAATGTTTAAAATTAATAAACAAATTCAAATAAATACGTCCCAAAAACTGTTTGGGTGAAGAGTTTGCGTATAATGCATGGCATTCATTTAAATCAACATGTCGTAAGAATAATATTTTTACACCCGCCATTTTCAGCTTCGCGCTAATTATACATTTGAATTTATTCCAAGTGCCTCATTATGAAGATTTGGTTAAAATTTTGATAGATGGAATTTAATGAAAATCAAACCGTGCAATGGAACAAAACGGGTTTTTTTACAAAAATGCACTGCTGGGACTGCGATGGAACGCGTTCCATTGGATTCTCGACAAAATGAAAGTTTTTTCAATATCACGTGATCATAATCAGGCAAGTAAATGACCAGAATTTAATAAGGGTTTATATAACAAGAAATAGTATCGCTTTTCTCAAAGTTGTCACTACAGCCTGTTTCATACAATGAAGTAATCAGGTGGCTCCAAGACATTGGATGGAAGAAGCTGTAGTGGCAATTTATATATACTGTACTATTTGCTCTATGTGAACCAAAATCCGGCATCACCAATACCGATATAAATACAATACAAATCTGTATTTGGAAAATAGGGATGAAATTGTTATGGATTTAATAAAATATTCCACTAAATGATATCTTGGTTTTTTAAAAGTTAATAACCTGTATTTTATGTCGTTTATGGCTAAACGTCTCTTTACTCTAGGTTAAACTTATAATGATTTTGGTTAAGGAGTATATTCCTTTAAACAATTCCAAATGACAAGGAGAGATACTGTATGTCCGATAATAGAGGTTGGACTGTCAAAATGGCATGCAAAGTACTCATACCTGATCAGTAATACTTTTACTATTACATATAATATGTAGATATCTTTTGGTTGATTTCACTATCTATCTGTTATTCTTGCACCAATTTTCACCTGTCCAGCAGTTCGTGAGAAATAATTGACTAAACTTTGTTAAAAGCTTCCAAATAAGAATGGGCTATCTTGTTGATCATTTCTAAAGTACTCCTGATATCCAACTGTTAGTATCAATCAAGCTTGACTGATGTTTTTGTGAGGCCACAATAGACCAGTCTGTGGTATGCTAATTTCTCGTGAGAACAAACTGTCATGATCAGTATTAATAAAAATATATTTTGCAAGGAATTTTTTCGAAACTGTACAGACCTGAAATAGTTTGGGTTAGGGTTGAGTCATTCTCTGCAGTGTCATAATTAGTGTAAGGTAATCATGTGATGGCCACTGGTCAGTACAATTAGGGATTAACAGTACGAGTGATGTTTGAAACATTTGCCAAAATTGTATCAATTTTACTCACCCATGACTTTTAAAACGCACTGTATTGTTCTTTTATACTTAAAACTCTTAATTCTGGATACGCACTTACAAATATTTATATCAGATTTTCATTTAATAAAGCTCCTGAAATGGTGAAAAGAAAAGAATTAACATTTCTGTTGAACCTCCATTTTCATTATTTTTTCTCAAATTTGTTCCCAAGCCCCACTCCTAATATTTTATGAATTCTACTGCGGTACTGCTGAATACTCTGGTACACAAGAGACTGGGAATAGTATTGTCTTCACGAAGTTCTAGCAAAACGTTTAACTGAGGGAAATTACGAGAGTTTAAACATAGTATATATAACTTGACGCTAGGAAAAAGCGGTGAAATTCCCTACCTTGGTATTATAATTGTGCGCCTCTCCACCAATCAAATTGCAGTAATTTTGTCATGCTTATAATAAACATGAAAATATTTTTCCTGTCTGTGAGGATGACTTTGTAATAGAATCGAACACAGCACGTCCTCCAACAGGAGTAAAAGTGGGGGGAATGTAAGCCCTCAAATTACGTAATGGGGAACTTAACTATTCTTTGCTGCGGCATGAAATACATTAATGATCTCACATGATGCTTAATTAACAATGCTGGGGTTAGCATCAGCCATACTTGTGCGGAATAGGCATGCAGCATTACAGTACCTACTAACTAGTATTGCCCGTTGCCGATCGGTAGGGATGGAGACGGTAGCACGGCGAAGCGAACGAGCTTGGCGAATGCGAACGAGCTTTTGGTGAAGCGATCATGCTAGGTCCGGTAATGCGAACATCGTTCAAGCTTCCAAAATGTCTCCAACCTGTCGGGGGGTTGGAGAAGGTTACCGTTAACCTCCTCCAGATGTCTCTAACCCTACAGCAGCGGGGCAATACTTAGAAACATGTCCGATGCTGTACGGATGTATCTGAGGTATGCCTGACTCGTCCAACGACCCAATGATTGAATCAGGTGATCAGGAATACCAGCGGCAGCCGTGGACGTCGCAGCCCCAATGCGAAAACTATCACATGACACACAAGGGAGCCACACCCCTAAAAAAACCCAAACCAAAACAAATAAAAACAATACAACACAAAGGCACGCAAACGCCCTGAAAAAGAATACTGCCACTAAATAACGGTAAAGAATTCAGAACAAAAATAATGCTAATTGATTCGCCACAATAATGCTAATTAACTTGGAACAATAATGTAATTAATCGTTAGAACATGCTAATTAACTGAGTAACATGAAGTTAAATAACTCGGAATCACAAAGTCAATTAATTGGCACCACCAACGAGTATCAACAGTCTCAGACAGGAACGAAACGTCCGAAAATCTGGACCTCCTAACCTACGGGTCACGAGAATATCGGTCATCTTTTTACGCCATTTGGTAGGGCGAATCACAAGCTGACCGGCTACGAAGAAAAACGAGGGCGCATACCCCGGTACCGGTGACCGGGTACTGGCTAAAAACAAAGATGGCGTACCTGGAAAAGTTTGGTTTCCTTGTCCTGCGGGAATCGTCGCCAACTGTTGGACTAGCGCTTGAGCGAATGGAGGCCACTGAGGCACACTCGGTAGGGTACAGAGCGGCGCGACACTAGGAGCAACCGATGACCCCAGAGCTTACTGTGGAGGGAAACTTTGAGCATTAAACATCGTTGTAGACACGGACGAAGGCACAGCTGGCAACACCATCAGAAAGGCCGCCGCAGGAACCAGCGAAGGAGCTACCATTCTCGGTGGGAATATCGGTGATGACAACAAAACTCGTAGCTGCTAAATGCGGCGACAGAACTAGAGCGGTCAGTGCGATCGTCGAAGCGACGAGTTGTGGCGTGAGTAGTAATGTAGGTGGTTTTCGACCCTTTTTTTGAGGGTGCGTAAGGGTGCTGAGGGTGCGCTAATTAATATTCATACAAATGAGGGTGCGTAAAGGTGCTGAGGGTGCGTAAGGGTGCGCTAATTAATTAACATACCTCCACATTAATTAATTCGTTGACAAAGACATCCCTGGTTTCCATAATCTTTTTATGTACTGGATCCCTCTTTAGCTGTCTTATCTATAGTAGACGTTCCAGATATATTTATTCTGCAAATTTTTACGAAGTTTTGGTAGGATAAGTAAGTATGACTTGTCTTTAGCTTCGTTTTCGACAAAACCTTCTGCATTGAAATTCTGGTAGCTCTTTTTTTCTAATTCTGATGCGTTAGTTCTTCGAATTCCGATAAACTTTGTTCGGCTGCTTAAGGTTTTAAAGGAGCCATGGATCGCTTTCGTATTCATCACCTACTTCACTACTAGTATCATCTACATTATCAGAATCACTTTCTGACGCAGAATCAGTTTCCACTTCGTTGTCAGTGTCAGTATACGAATTCTCAACATCACTCTCTGATGTAGCACTATCAGAGTCTGCAGCGGTTCTCATTCTTTTCATCTTTACACTGAAACCTGTAGTAGGTTTCCAACAGTACTGTATTTCCTTCGTATATTATTAGGTTGAAACAACTCCAGCCACAACCAACTGGGGAATGATCAATTTTTTTAACAACATTACATTTTATGAAGTGGCCCTAAGGGATTTTTCTATGGCCTTGTGTCCCGATTGGTGATTGGCAGGGATACTTCCCACCAAGCCTCCCCACCAAGAGGATTCTAGAGAATCAGGCCACAAGGCCATAGAAAAGGCCCTTGGGGCCAATGCGAAAAGTGGCCCATCCCAACCAATCATCAAAGATTTAGTGATCATTGTATTTATATGAAATGATAAAGTTTGTTTATCAATATCATTTCGTTTCAACTCTTCAAAAATTGTATCTATGTTATCCATTGACTGTGCTTGGATCAAATGTTTGGAAAGTTTTGTAGCTACGCTATAATCCCTCTATTGTATCACACACGTGAGAGGGACGCTAAGAAATGCCTAGTCAGCAAGTTTTGTCCGATCTTGCTCAAGCTTGCCCTCGTGACGTCATTGCATATATTAAGTGAATACACCCCACATGAGATCCACCACCACACTCCACCTTATTCTATGTTAATGATGATGCGCCACCTCATTCTATGCTAATGATGATCATAATGCGCCACCATTATCTATGCTAATGATGATGCGCCACCACACGCCACCACATTTATGTTAATGATGATGCGCCACCTCATTCTATGCCAATGATAATGCGCCACCTCATTCTATGCTAATGATAATGCGCCACTACCGCACTCCACATTCCACCACCACCACAAATTAATTAGCGCACCATCAGCATCCTTACGCACCCTCAGCACCCTTACGCACCCTCATTTGTATGAATATTAATTAGCGCAGCCTCTGCACACTTACGCACCCTCAACTCCCTTACGCACCCTCATTTGTATGAATATTAATTAGCGCACCCTCAGCATCCTTACGCACCCTCAAAAAAAGGGTCGAAAACTCACCTACATTACTACTGGCGTGGACGATGCCACGATCGTTGTGTTTATGCTAGAGGAACTAGATGTCGTCGAAAGCGAAGGAGTGGACCCTCCAGGGAACGACAGAACGTGTTCCTAAGAAAAATCTTAACCGTGGATAAATTGAGGAGCGAGAGAAACAAGCGGGTTGCAGCGACGAAGCGAACGACCAGTTATCAACTGGCCGGCAAAGGCAAGGCTATTTATAGTATTAGGGTGTAACAATACCCGGTGGTCAAACCCAGGCAAGTAACTATGCTGCGAGAATCTCCTCGACATTAACTTCCTTTATTATAACTTATAAATACATTTTAAAAATTCATTAATAATTCACGAGGAAAATACAAAAGAAATAAATGTTTAATCAATGTTTGTAAATCGGATAAAGATTTCTTCTGATTTACATCACGGTTACATCAACCTCGTTCACGAGGTTGAAGTTACGTTTGGCTGCGCTGCTTTATATTTTGAGAAGAAAACGACACCGTTCCATACGATTCAGCGTAAGAAATTGTACTTACGGATGTTAAGTGTATTACTAAACACCAGTATTCTAGCGATTTATTGCCTTTGAAAATCAAGCGGAATTGTATTGTTGATAAATCGCTCGCAGTACGTATTGAGGATAAAAATACCACCGTTCGATTCAGCGTTAGAAATTGTACTAATTACGGATGTCAAATGTACAGTATTACTAAACAACAGTATTCTAGCGAATATGGCCTTTGTCAGT